TTCTTTTATCTCCCAGGTGCAGTCAGTTCTAGGGGTCATTCCTTTGCAGATCCTGCCAGTAATCTGGGTCTGGAAGACATTATTAGGAAAGCATTGATGGGAAACTTTGATGACAAGAGCGAGGAGCATGGAGTTGTAATGACACAATCTATTGCGGTAGTACCCAGCAGTTCCAGTGCTGCAGTATCAGCAAGTAACGAGACACGTAGGGAAGAAGCCAACCCATCACCAAATTCAGGTGGGTTATTGCAACGCCTAAATATTTCATGGTCTTAAAATAAAAAGGGTTTGAATAAACTTGATGTCATTGAAAATTGCTGGTTTTCCTCTGGAAAGAATAAGAGATGGTGCTCCCATTCACTTTAGTGGTCGTGGCTTTCAAAATAGTGCTGGGAACTTCAGGAGCATTAGCCAGTATTTCTTGGAGAATGACACCACTAGTGAAATAGGGAAGATATAACAGGATGTATTAGATAACTGAAGTTTCTCAGTGGTTTGATGTTTATCTATAAGGAACATGTGCCAGCAGGAGCTTGGACTGACAACATCTCCCTTCCTAAACATGGAAATATAACTTCATTATAGTAAGAACAGGGATTTTCTAAAAACACTGTGTCGGGAGACTAAGTCACTAATTCAGGTAAATCAGCATTTCAAAAGGCATCAGTGTGAAACTCCTGTTCACTGGTATACAGTAATTTATAGAAACAAACATGGAGGCTAATAGCAGTGTAACATCTTTGTAAAGTCTGTCCTTTCTGTTTCCAGGAGGGGGCAAGCAGAAGCTCATCAGCAAGTCGAATAATAGGAAGTCAAAGTCTCCAATTCCTGGACAGGGGTATTTGGGAAGCGAAAGACCTTCTTCTGTCTCATCTGTACATTCAGAAGGGGACTACCACAGGCAGACTCCAGTGTGGGCCTGGGAAGATAGGCCTTCATCAACAGGTGAGAAATGGGTTTCTTTCAAACTAAACACACCAGATGTGATTCTTGTACCAGTGTTATATGTGACTTTTCTGCATTGGTCAAGAGTTTACAGCATATGAGGAATTTCAGAAATAAGAGATTCTCTGCAAGTTGTCACAACCAAACCCAGACTGTCTTTCAGATATGGGTGTCTTGGAACAGCTCATGGTTTTGACTCGGAGAAACTTTCTTTTATTCAGGTTCAACACAGTTTCCTTACAACCCATTGACAATGAGGATGCTCAGCAGTACACCGCCAACATCCATTGCGTGTGCCCCACCGTCCATGAGCCAAGCAACCACTCACCAACAGAACAGGATATGGGAGCGAGAGCCTGCACCACTGCTTTCAGCACAATATGAGACTCTGTCTGACAGTGATGACTGAACTATGCAGATTCTTTTTGTTTTTTATTTGCGGGTCAAAAAAAGAAATCTATTTTTGACTTGGGCCCATAGAGACTTTCCAAGAGAGCAAGGGCCACACAATGAAGAATTGATGGAGAGTCCGTTAAATGCCTTCTGCACAGGCTGTGTGTTGGAGGATTGTTAACAAGAAGGTTGACTTACTAAAGATAAATATGTAAAGAGTTTTTAAAAAATGTGGACTATTCCTGTTCTACATCTATTTGTAAAGAAAACCGTAATGTCTTTAAATCATTCTTCTGTAAATAGAGAGTACTTTTTGCAGTGTTTTTTCCCTTGCTATAGTATCTGGTGTACTTATGTTCAAATCATTGCCTAAACTTTGGGGGTCATTTTGTAATTTTTTTTGTTTGTTTTTTTTAAGCATTTTCTCCAGTGTAGAGTACTCTTCATAACCCTAGCCTCCCTCCCAGCCTAGCCTAACCATAACCTAGCCTCCCAACCAGCCTAGCATCATTGCCCAGTTAATGCCAAGCCACCTCTTGCAGGCATTATGCTTTTATATCATTTTTTTTTCCCCCTAGACACACTTTCTCAGTGGTGATCAAGCTCTTGTGAAAATGTTGATTATTAAGACTGACCCCTTAATGAATTCTGTACATTACCATAGTCCAGTTCGCTGGAATAAGATGATATATTTCTTGGAATTTTAAATTCTGCCACATTGTAAATTTTTTGGTGCAGTTGGTTTTATTTAGCAACACTGCAGAACTATTATTGCATGGGTATGTTATGGTTCATTTTTAAAAGGTTATAAAAAGCAAAAACAGCTTCTGGAGGCATACCTCACTTCTGCACACTGGGAATTTTAACTGTGCCCCAAAAGCCTATCTGAAGTGTTTTCTGTTTCTGCATTGTATGCAGTCAAGACAGGCTACTAAATTTTACTGTTATATTTAACTACAGCAAATGGCTTATCTGAACAGAGGCTCTGGGTGGGTTGATAAATCCTTTAAGAAGAAAAACCTCTACATCCCAAGTTTAAATAAAACAAAATGCTTTTATAGAATAAGTGAGCAACATATGAGTCAACTACTTGGCTTCTGTTACAGCCGGTTTGAAATAGGTACTGTGATTTTTACCTTCCTCCAGTCTGATTTTAAAATCTTTATGTAATAATTATTTTAAAGTCTGCATCCCAATCCCTGGCCCTGTAAGCAAGCTTTTGGTGGAAGTCCTTACAACTGCTTGGCTTAACTCCTAAAGTGTGCAATACTGTTAGGGTGATTTTTAAATTGTATATGGTACTAGGAGTCTCCTTAATCTCTCATCTAGCAATGCCTGCTATGCTATGCTTATAGCTCATGTATGCATACATCTGGTTAGTGATACCACAGGGTGTCCTGACATCTGTCTTCAAAAGCATCTTATTTTTTGCTGCACTGACCTCAGGAAGTGAACTGAAATCTTCTGGGGTAGAAGGACTGATTTACAGATAGCACTGAGCTGGGGGGGTGGCACTGTCTGTCAGATTCGAAACTGCTTTTGCATCTCATCCATGAACAGAGTCCTTGCCTGGAAGTTATTTTCCAGTCAAAATATTTTTAATTTAACCCTGTATTTGTGACATGTTGTATGGAAGCTCTGCATCTTCCAGGAGGACTGTAAGGTCCAGTTACAAACAGGAAGTAAAGAACTACTTACCAATACAAATTCACTCTGAGTACTCAAGAGGAAAGCCTTTTTATCCCAAGTGTGGGAAAGAAAAAGATCCCAAGGAACTCATTTGGAAACTTGACACTGTGTTGCAAATACAGAATTATTTTGCTACTTTGTTTAAACTGTGTCAGAGTAGATCAGTTGGCAGTCTTAAACCTCCTTCCTGTCTTTCTCTAAAAAAGACTTTTCTCACCCTCCCATCCTTTACCCTTTTAGCTTAACATAGTGAAGTTTTCATCTTGTCTGTAGACCTGTGCGCTTATTTTAACTTTTTTTGTTCCCACAGCAACATATACTGGAAAACAAGTTGTTCTGCCCTTTTTGTAGATCTAAATTTGGAGTGGAGAGTTCAGTTCCATTCTAAAACTCACTTGTTCTCACTTTCCTAGTGTAACAAATACAATGTGAAAGAGGCATGTACAGACAAATGTCTTTGCTAACTGTAAGTATAGCATGTTCATTGCAAAGCTTCATGTTATTGCTGCTGCAGCAGCAAGATTCCCAAAGTAGGATAGTCACTTTCTCCTAAGATTCAGCTTGAGTGGCATTTGCACATAAAATGTTGCTGCTTTTTTGTTTGTTATCCAAGTTCTAACTTCTCCAGTGTAAAAACCTCTCCAGAGCCTAAGTTAGGGTTTACCACAATTCCAGTGATCTCCAAGTATGGAATTACATCTGCCCTATTTCAAACAGGAAGGTGTTTGTAAGTCATGTTTACAAAGTGTAGTTTACTACAAATTTTTAACTGATTTCTGATCAGCGCTTTCACAATGCTTCATCTTGATATGTTTCGTGATTCTGATATGAAATCATTTAAGACTTGAAAAACCCATGCATCATAAACCAACTTTTTTTTTTCCACACAATGTCTTCAGTAGACAGTGACTTCTGGATTCAGACCAATCAATAAAGGGGATCAGTTCTCCATTTGCTTTTCCTGTGTCTCCCTCTTGTTTTGTAGCATCACGCTCTGAGAACAGGCAAAACACTTCCCTTAAGGAGTGCTACAGAGTTCCCAGTTAACACTGCTGGAGTGGCTAAGGTCTGCCATTTCAAAAACAGAACCCAGAACTTTGAAGAATGTTGGTTCTACTGTGTCAGAGCCTTTCTGGTAGTGTAAGCATGCCTGTAACAGCCGTATTCTTACTTCCTAGCTTGCTGAGAACAAAGCTGTACATGTGACTTATTCCAGCTTTGATGAACATCTGCTCTAGAAAACCTGCGTGCTGCCTTTTAGCTCAAAGTTAAACAGAGCTGAAGCCACTAATGCTACTGTAAGTAAACTAATGATAATGCAATTAACATTAAGGGTGGTACCAACCAGCTGAAGTTCTTACAAATGAGAGGTTAAAATAATGCGTGGTTAGTGACAGAATTAGTTAGTTCTGTTCCATCCTAGTTAAGTACAGATTTGGTATCTTCTGATGTAATCCTCCTTTAACATCAGGCTTCCCTGCAGGGTAGTACTGAAACATTCTGTTATATGAGCAGGCTGTTCATCCTAGAGTCACGTGTAGTTTACAGACCTGATGGTTTGTATATACAGCCTTTTCCACCAGGAGCCTCAGCATTCCAGCACTGACCTATCCAAGAGAGGAGGACAGCTTTGGCACTTGCTGTGCTCTTGACTGGGGTAAGGTGGCAGAGTGATTCATTTCTGACGATAGCTCTGCTTGGTAACATAGTCTCACCCCTCCTCACAGAGCACATGTTCTATCTTTGGATGCTAAATGATTTGAAGAAAAGCACTGGATCTTCAGGTAACCTGCTTGAAAAGGACATGGAGGTACAGTTCTGTCATAGTACAGGTATAGCCTGGGAAATGCTCTACCTAAGTTAATAACGTGCTGAATTGCAGCACTGATGCAAGCACACCCTGCTGTGGTAGCCAGCATGTAGAGTTGAGACAATTCCTGCCTGTTTGCAGACTGCATCACAAATCTACACAGTTAAGATTTCACAACTTTATTTTGGGCTAAGTTGTTAGGCAATAGCAGCCCTTCTTGTTACGCAGTCCTTAAACTCCTTGCTGTTTCCCTGGAGAATTGCACCAAGGCTGCTTGTACTGACCAGCCCTTGCTGCTGTTGGCCACCTCAAGGTCAGACTCTGTGGCCAAACTTACTTGGAGCCCTTTCTCCTCTTAGCCAGCTCAGCTAGTTCTTCCTGGATATGCTGAACAGAAGCAGCATCTCCCTTCTGTTGTGCCTGCTTGAGAGCTTCTTTGTACACTTGTTTTGCTTGCAGAAAGTCCTCTGTAGCAAGAGGAAAAAGAGGTGTTTTCAGAGTCCCCTCCTGAAGCTGACCATATGCAAAGGACAAGCAAGGACTACTGGAACACATCAAGAACTAGATAAGTTCATAAAACATCCAGCGCTGGTGCCAGTTATGAGAGCAAGACAGCAGCAATGATGATGGGACAAGGTGCTGCTTCAGCATTAAGATTTCACAGAAACAAGTCTGCAGCATGTCTTCTGTTCCTCTGGAGCCAGTTATTGCCCATACAGGACAAGGGAAACAAGATCCCTTGGCAACCTTTTGAGTCAGATGCACCAATACTGCATTTATCTTGGACAGGATCCTTCAGAAGCTGAGTTCCATATGAACACCACACAGATTGCTACACAAAGTCAGCAGACCTACTGCTTAAACTACAAATAGCAACACAAAAATAACACTATACTTCGATCCTACAATACAGGTGTCTGCAGTCAGCACAAGCCCAGTGACAGAAGCCAGACATTTATCTACCTACCTTTGTGCATCAGAATTGCTGCAAGGTTGTTCAGCACCATGTGCTCCTCAGGGTGTTGAGTCTCCTTTGCCAGCTCTGCTGCCCTCTTCACATAGGAATACGCCTCATCATGGTGGCCCTGAGCATCCAGTACAGTTGCCAAGTCGCTCATCAGGACCACAGTCTGCACCAGGACAGAAAAGGAAACCTCAGAGCAAGACCTGTGCAGAAGTCTAGGGCATCACAAGTACCACATTCATAACCCCACCACACTAGTAAAAACAGCATTTCCCAGAGGAGCTTTCAGTAAGTGTCTTGTATTTCTGTATTAACATGCTGCATGTTCACTCTTCCTGGCAAGGAAGCAGAGCCCAGTTTAGTGCTGTGTATGGTTGATACCAGCAAAACTGCTTTTAAGGCTGCCTCATTCCCTAGGAGCTAAAGTAGTCCCCTATACAAGTCACCTGTGGATGAGTCTCTCCCTGAATATCTTTTGATATCTGCAGAGCCTTCTCGTACATTTTTTGGGCCGCTGGGAGCTGGTTAATGTTTAGGAGATAGCGAGCATAAGAGTCTAGGCTCATCCCAAGCAAGAGACGGGTGTTGGCCTTTTCTTCAGCTGCAAATAGAGAGGAGTGGAAGTGATCACTTCTACAAGATTAAGCATGAGTCTCCATCCTACAAAAGCAGGAAACTCATGCAGCATGAAGACAATGGATTGATGTGAAGATGGTGCTTAGGCAATACGGAAAGCAACATCAAAGAGAAATGGAGAAAAGATAATGAGAAGCCTTTGGCAGACAAGGCAGTCCCACCTGGTAACACATCCTCAGGCAAGTCCTTCTGCTTGGCAATCTTCTCCTCTAAGGTGAGGATGCAGAACTCGTATCCAGCCAGGGCTAATTTGTGCCTGCAAAGTGCAACAACTGAGAAAAGCAAAGCAAAGGTCCTTCCATCCCTGAAGGGACGAATGTGAACACCTTCTATCCCTCATTCTAGAGGGCCTGCAAGACAACTTTTTGCCTTCACAGGACCCTTTTTGCCCTCTGTGCTCACTTCCATGGCCTGGACGCTTCTCTTGGGGGATCCAAGAGGTGGAGAGGGCCCCTCCTCCCCCAGACAAGGCCAGCTAAGACAACCCATGCCAATGCTCCACTGAAAAATCCACAAATCCACATTGCACAGGAAAGAAGGCTTTTAAGTGATGTCTCTATGGCTACTTCTGCCCTAAGCTGGGCAGGTCCTAACAGCAAGCTGTAGCAAACCCTGCTACATGACTGTGAGTAGGCAAATACCATGCCTGTGGGAACCTTTATGCTGATGGCATCTTGTCACATCAAAGCTTCCTCAGGCACTCTATTCTCTGACACCACTGCCACTGTGAAGCTGAGATGAAAGCAAAAGATGCCTTTAGCAAGGAACTCACTGTTTCTGAGCAGCATAGATACTGGCCAGCTTGAGGGACATCTCAAGGATTGCATTGTCATCCTGCCAGGAGGACACACAATGCAACTGTTATTCTTTTTGCATCTCCCCAATAGAAACATTACTTTGTCAGAGAACAAGTTTAGACCTTAAAAATCCCCATCCTGTTCTCTCCAGTGCTACCATCCGTTTAAGGAAGTTCCTGAGAAGCCAGCAAGCTCATACCTAGTATTGCTGACTTCCAGTAGGAGGTATTACAGCACAAGAAATAGACTAAAGAGACATGCACCACTTTCTGCTGAAAGCCTTTATTTATCAGAAGAACATACCTCTTTCGTGTCCCCTGCAAGCAAATAGCTCATACTTGCTTTGTAGAGCTTTTCTGCCTGAAATGAGAATTTTGAAGAGGACACTGGGGAATAATGGCACTTAAAAGATCCCTACCCTTTACAAAGGCAGACTACTGGGAGAAACCTGTCTTAACAGTTTGTGGCATTTACATTCTATGTCAAAACCAGGTTGAAGTGAAAAGCTAACCAGAGTCCAATGTACTAACAACTAGCAGGTCCCTTCAGTTTCCACTTTAGGATTGCTACATCAGCCATGTGTCTACCACATCTTTGTGCCTTCAGGGCTTTCCCAGGTTCCTCTTGGGACAGCCATCTAAACATTTGACTGTGGCATTTGACAGTAAGAAGTATTCCTTCCCTTCAGCACCATGCTGGAGCTCAGAAACTAACTGCAAAAGCATCTTTCTTAGCAGAACATGCTCTACAGGACTGTAGTTCCAAGGCAGATTGCTCTGCTTTTTACTGGGAGGCCTCTGCCTCACAACTCCCAGCCCCTGCACAAGATGTCAGCCTCAAAACTCAGAGGGAAAAGAACAGTTACTCACATTATCCAGCTGTCCCTGCATGAAGGCCACGTTTGCCATCTGGAAGAGATGCAGAGTGCTGAAGCTCCACAAAGACTGCACGGACTTGCCTCACTCAACACAACTGCTTTTCCTTCTACCTACAGCTCCACCACAGCCCCAGCAATACACCCCGAAGGGACCTCAGAGCCCCACAGCACCTTTTAACGTGAACTAGACACGACACGGGGTGGCCCCTC